TGTTAATCCTTCAAGAAAGGATTGGTCTGACAAGCTTGACGATTCATTATGGGCATACCGCACGACATTCAAAAATCCCATTGGCACCTCCCCATATCATCTTGTGTATGGGAAGGCATGTCATCTACCTGTTGAGCAAGAACACAAAGCATTTTGGGCGGTTAAAAATCTCAACATGGATCTCTCATTGGCGGGTGAAAAGAGAATGTTGCAGTTGAATGAGCTCGAGGAGTTCAGACTCGCAGCTTATGAAAATTCCAAAATCTACAAGGAGCAAACCAATCAACTACATGACAAGGTAATCTCTAAACGAGATTTCGCACCAGGAGACCAGGTACTTCTTTATAACTCTCGCTTTAAATTGTTCCCTGGTAAGCTGAGGACCCGGTAGTCCGGACCATTCGAGGTAGTGGAAGCATTTCCCTCCGGAGCTGTGCAACTTTGTGGCAAAGATAACGCCAAATTCATTGTAAATGGGCAACGTTTGAAGCGTTATCTTGCCAACGATCACCAAGAGGGAATGCTACTCCATTTCCTCGAAATGCCTGAATATAAGTGATTGCATTTGTAAAGCTAATGAACATAAATAAGCGCTTCTTGGGAGGCAACCCAAGTTTTCAAATTCTGATTTTTTTAATAAGGTAATTGAATTTCAATAAGACGTTTTCCACGCCATGTACAAAAAAAATTAATTTACCAATTTTTTTAGGAATTGTTTACTTATTTCTCCTTCATTTATTTTACACTGAGGACAGTGTAAATTTTAAGTGTGGGGGAGTGGGTAGATAAAACTTGATTTTTTATGTGCATTTTCAAATAAAAAAAGAAAAAAAATTATAATTATTATAATTTTTCATTTTTGTTTTGTTTTTTGTGTGTTTGTGCTGAATAATGAACAGTCTTGATCCAAAAAGTAAAATTGAACTTACAATTTCTTTGTTTATATGTCTTGTTAATATTTATATACATAACCTTGTAAATTACAAAATCATCTCTTTTGACGGAATGTGGTATGAGTTCGAGAATTGTTTCATTATACATCTTGAGAGTAACTGTGTCCGAGCCTTGAGTTAATTTCTGTTAATAATTTAACATAGAATACCATAGAGTTTTTCCAATTTATTGGTTTACTAGCTAAATTTAGTTATAACTTTTATAGACCATGATGTTTCACATTTGTTCTCCATGAAAATGATGTTTTAATTTGACACATTTAGACATGATATAGGTCATCTTTGTTTAACCTCTCAAACCAAGCCTACCCAATTCAAAAAAAAAATCCTAGTTGTTCCCTTTTGAGCTTTTTTCTGTAAGTAAGTGTTACCACTTATCTCTTGTTTGTCATTTTTTTTCTTGTTACCCTGTAAATATTTAACCCTAAACCATTTTGCCAAAATAAAATATCCCTTCACCCAAGAGTAGATTGACTTATTATTTGATAAGGAACTTCAAAAAAAAAGAATTAATGATTGGAGCACTGTGTATTTTTTGTAAATAATTGAGTATGTCATATTCATTCTTTTGTATTAAAGTTGTACATTCTTTCTCTTTGTAAAGATAATAATAACTTAGTGTGCCTTCAAAAAAAAAAGAATAAAAAAAGGATTAAAAAAAGTTAAAAAAAAAGTTGAAAAAAAAAGAAAAAAAAGCAAAAAAATAAAAATAAAAATAAAAAAAAGTTGAAAAAAAAGAAGCACACTAATCTTGAACTCTTTATATTTTTAGAATTTATTCTTCTTGGGCATAAAAAAAAATAAATAAAAAATGCCCGTACCATTTACTGTATTCTTCGTAAAATAATGGTCATTTTTCATTTTCGAGTCATTTGTTTATCTTGATCCATAGTTACATTTGTAGTAATTTTTGAGTTCTTGATCAAAATAAGTATAATCTATTTTTTTGTCCTTTATACCCTTTCTTTGTTTACCCATATTACCCTTAGCCCCGTTACAAGCCGAATAAAAGTCCTAATTGATCTTTTTGTGTCATTTTTAAAAATAATTGGATTGGAGAAACTTGGTTTTTATTAGTTTGACTAATTTAGCACTATAGGTGTTTATGTTAGATTATTAACATGAAAGTTTCTCGGATAGGCAATATTACTCAAGTTACTCTCATTTTATTATTTTGCGACAATTCATGGGTCTTAGATATTCGGTGGACAAAAGAGATAATTGATTTTTAAAGTTATGTATGTGAATTATAACAACACATGTAAAGATTGTATTTGTAGTTTATTTTGCTTGAGGACAAGCAAAAGCCTAAGTGCGGGAGAGTTGGTATGCACATATTTTATACACTTTTTAGGCATATTTTGAAGGAGTTTTGAGTCCCAATTGAATTAATGTTTACATTTTATGTCAATTTTCCGTTTTATTTTGGTAGAGCGATCCTATGCTTGGTTTTATATATTTTGCAGGTATTTTGAGGTCATTTGGATGCATTGATAATAATTGCAAGAACGGAGAATAAACATGCAAATTTGGGACAAAAAGAAATGGAAGAAATTTGAAAAAAAGAAGGAATTAAATAAAAAGAAAAGGAGAAAAACGCCTTCATAGTTTTGAGTCCCAATTGAATTAATGTTTACATTTTATGTCAATTTTCCGTTTTATTTTGGTAGAGCGATCCTATGCTTGGTTTTATATATTTTGCAGGTATTTTGAGGTCATTTAGACGCATTGATAATAATTGCAAGAACGGAGAATAAACATGCAAATTTGGGACAAAAAGAAATGGAAGAAATTTGAAGGAAGGAATTAAATAAAAAGAAAAGGAGAAAAACGCGTTTGGGCTTTGAACCCTGGACTTCGGGTAGTGGATCAGAATAAGCCCCATCGCGCCACCGGATATTGTTCGTTTGCTGGCGGTTACGGTTTTTCTTCTGTTTTAAATTCGGCCCATGAATTGAGAGAGAAAAATGACAAAACAGTTAAGGGTGGGAAGCTTCGAACACGGGTTACGGAGCACAACAACAAGCTGCATTTCAATGTGCGCTACAGGAGATGTTTTGACATATTTGACTACTGTTTGTATATAGTCCGTAAGTACGAATTTATCTATAAAATCCGTCTCCTCTCTTCTCCTAAGAGGTTGGAACCCCCCATTCCTCTCCTCTCTCCAATCCGAAATTCTCCTCCTCCATCACTAATATCTCATCACTTTCTTCATCCAAACACATAAAAATTACTCCATCTTCATCATCATTTTTCATATTTGGATCTCAAGAACACATCTTCCATTTTGTAAGATTTTTATGTTTGTAATAAATATTTATTTGTTTAAGTTTCAAACTATGTACTTCTAAATTCCATTGGGGTTAGAAGTTGTTGTAATTAATTGTCCATCTTAATGTTTTGAATATTTTAATATGGATTGTTAATTTTATTTTATTTAGATGTTGTATTTAAAAATAAATAAATTTGGAATGTTTGTAATTTTTAATCAATCGCCCAATCATAAACATAATTGTTACAAGAAATATGAGCTAAAATTGATATAATCATAAAATAGAACACTTTTTAAATAAACCGTAAGCCTTTTTTCAATGGCTTTAATATGGTCAACCTCATACACTTCACCTTCACCTCCATTATCATCATCATCATCATCATCATTGCTCTCTTCTTCTTCCTCATCACTTGTTGACATATCCAAAATAGGGTGAGGGGAGCAGTTGCTTGTTATCAACATACAAGAGGCACAAAGCTGCTGCCATTCTTTTAAAAGAGCCAAAAATGTATCAGCTCGCACATTCATCACATTTGTCTCTGGGTGGTTTAGTCTTAAGCTATCACATTCAGGTCCATTCATATCCACAGCCCATTTTGTAACCAAATTAACATTGCAACTAGTTGCTCCTAAACATAGTCCTATGGACATTCCGCCACAACCAGAATAAATATCCAAGAGCGATTTCTCTGAATTAAGCTCTCTAACTTCTACCCCATCAGACTCACTAGAGATTGTGGAAGTGGATACATCGGCAGCAGTGAAATCGTGTGGCAGGTTCAGAAATGTGGAGTAAGGAACAACATACATCATATTATATCACAATAAAAATCAGATTCAGGTGGAATTATATCCCTTGAAATAGAATTTCCATTGTATGGTATGCAATGTATGCTGACTTTTTTTACAAGGCAGTCAATGTTATTATCGTCCTTGATTTCAAAAAAGAATACACGGCGAGGGTCAACAAACTGATCACATGATGTGATGACAGTCTCCTTGGCTCTATAATACCATTGCGCTATAAAATAGCACATACCATCAACTGCTTCAAACATTTCTACAATTTTACAAATAAAGTTATCTTCACCATCACCAGCTATAACACCCCAACTCGAGTAACCCGATGATCTAGATTATTTGAGCCGGAGTAGTTACCATGATGGTAATTACGCATGATAATTTGAGGAATAATTGAAAACCAATTAAATATTAATATAAATGATAAATTCAAATATTAAATTTCAGAGTAACGTCGAAACAGTGCGGAAGCTTAAATATAAAACATAATTAAGTCGTATTACATTTTATGGGAACTCGCCCGAAAAGGTATTTATTAAAATAAAGCATAGTAGTTGTGGTCCACTAGTCCGTGTAGCAAGTAATGCATAGCACTTGCTACACGCAGGTAATAATACTGAACATGGAGCCCATCTCGGAGGTCAATGAGAGTGATGAGATGTACCAGGACATGTTGATGTACGGACTGGTGGACCACAACTACTATGCTTTATTTTAATAAATACCTTTTCGGGCGAGTTCCCATAAAATGTAATACGACTTAATTATGTTTTATATTTAAGCTTCCGCACTGTTTCAACGTTACTCTGAAATTTAATATTTGAATTTATCATTTATATTAATATTTAATTGGTTTTCAATTATTTCTCAAATTATCATGCGTAATTACCATCATGGTAACTACTCCGGCTCAAATAATCTAGATCATCGGGTTATTCGAGTTGCGGTGTTATAGCTGGTGAGGGTGAAGATAACTTTATTTGTAAAATTGTAGAAATGTTTGAAGCAGTTGATGGTGTGTGCTATTTTACAGCGCAATGGTATTATAGAGCCAAGGAGACTGTCATCACATCATGTGATCAGTTTGTTGACCCTCGCCGTGTATTCTTTTCTGAAATCAAGGACGATAATAACGTTGACTGCCTAGTAAATAAAGTCAGCATACATTGCATACCATACAATGGAAATTATGTTTCAAGGGATATAATTCCACCTGAATCTGATTTTTATTGTGATATAATATGATGTATGTTGTTCCTTGCTCCACATTTCTGAACCTGCCACACGATTTCACTGCTGCCAATGTGTCCACTTCCACAATATCTAGTGAGTCCGATGGGGTAGAAGTTAGAGAGCTTAATTCAGAGAAAACGCTCTTGGATATTTATTCTGGTTGTGGCGGAATGTCCATAGGACTATGTTTAGGAGCAAATAGTTGCAATGTTAATTTGGTTACAAAATGGGCTGTTGATATGAATGGACCTGCATGTGATAGCTTAAGACTAAACCACCCAGAGACAAATGTGATGAATGTGCTAGCTGATACATTTTTGGCCCTTTTAAAAGAATGGCAGTTGCTTTGTGCCTCTTGTATGTTGATAACTAGAAACTGCTCCCCTCACCCTAATTTGGATATGTCAACAAGTGATGAGGAAGAAGAAGAGAGCATTGATGATGATGATGATGATGATGATGATGATAATGGAGGTGAAGTGTATGAGGTTGACCATATTTTGGATATTTGTTACAGAAAGCCTAATGGTGGTAGCAAGTCTGACCTATATTTTAAGATACATTGGAAGGGGTATGATGATGATTATGAAACATGGGAACCAATAGAGGGATTAAGTGGTTTCCCTCAAAAGATCAAAGAATTTGTTGTCAATGGCTTTAAAGAAAAAAGACCACCTCTACCAGGACATGTTGATGATATTTTCGGCGGTCCACCTTGTCTAGGCATAAGTGGCTTCAATCAATTTAGGAACTTTAAGAATTCTTTGGAAGATCCAAAAAGTGAGCAAATGAAAACTTATATGGATTTGGTTGATATTTTAAGGCCAAAGTTTGTGTTGATGGAGAATGTTGTTGATCTTTTAAAATTTCCAAGTTTTCTTGGGAGATATGCTTTAAGCCGGCTTGTAGGGATGAATTATCAGGCACGGATGGGTATGCTTGCAGGTGGAGCATATGGCCTCTCATAATTTCGCATGTGTGTCTTTTTGTGGGGTGCCCTTCAAGGAGAGAAGCTGCCACAATTTCCTTTGCCAGCCCACAAAGTTGATAGTAGAGGGAGGCGTCATTTCCAAAGAGTTTGAGTGCAACAATGTTGATTATGAAAACCATGATGTCAACCTAAAGGACGCACTCTTTCTTGAAGATGCCATTTCCGATCTTCCTAAGGTTGAGAATACTGAGGTTAGAGAAGAGATGCATTATGTTGATGATCCAAAAACTCATTTTCAGCGGTTTATAAGACTTGGGCGAGATGGTGTGCTTGGACAAGTTTTGTACGATTATTGTCCATTACAGTTGAATGAAGACGATTATCAACGCGTATGCCATGTTCCAAAGAGGAAGGGCACAAATTTCAGAGATTTACCTGGTGTTCGCGTGGTTGGCAATAAGGTTGAGTTGGATCCAAATGTCGAAAGAGTGTATTTGCCTTTTGGGAAGCCATTGGTACCTAACTATGCTATCTCTTTTGTGAAAGGAACTTCGACCAAGCCATTCAAAAGATTATGGTGGGATGAAACTGTCCCAACCGTTGCCACCAGGGCTGAGCCTCACAATCAGGCCATTTGGCACCCTGTCCAAGACCGAGTTCTCACAATCATAGAAAACGCGCGGTTACAGGGATTTCCTGATTACTACAAGCTTTGTGGCTCCATCAAAGACAAGTACACACAAGTGGGAAATGCAGTTGCTCTTCTAGTTGCCAAAGCTTTAGGTTACTCATTAGCTCTCTCATTCAAAGGCTTGTCTGAAGCAGCTGCCATGTTTACATTGCCCGAAGGATATGACGCGATTCAAGAGTTACCAGTTGATCAAACGTCTTTTGCCGAATTTCCATAATGAAGTTTTTGAAGGTTATTATTGATTGCGCTACGGCATACAGTTTTTTAAAGTAATTATTCTTTTCTTCTCTGCATTTGGACAAGTTAAAAAACCCATTGTTGCAGTAAAATTTAGTTTGATGTAGTGTGAAACATTTCATTGCTAAATTTGTAATATTATTCCCTATTATTATGACATCGACAAACGAAACATTGTATCGCTATTCAAATACTTTAAGCCTGATCAAACCAACTTGTTTTTTTTTGACGGCATCAAATATATATGCAAATGCAATATTCTGTGTTTGGGTGGGTTGGAGTTTCATAGTGCATGACTTGGGTAGAATAGGAAACTTCCCATATATTGTTATAATTATATTTTTCAAACTTTTTTTTATTTGTTGAACTGTATCATGCTTTACACGTAAGTCCATACTTAACAAACTGTTGGTCATCATTTTACGAGATTTACCCAAAAATGTAATTTTTACATAAAAGGTCAACTTTACAAATATTTCATAATTTTTACTATAAATATAATAAAATATTACATTTATTTCTATAAAAATAACGGCTCACTACGAAGCTGGTTTTCGAGTCGTTACATTTCTCTCCCCCTTACAAGAATTTTGTCCCCGAAATTTGTTAATCTAATGTCCACTCAAAACACATGCACACAAATAGGCACATGGGAAACACATTCAAGTCAACTAATTGCAGTCAAGTTAACTTATGAAGCGTACCATCAAAAGCTTTGTTGTCTTGAGGGTCAGCGCATCCTATCATTGCATAAGTGCGCGCTTGATCTTGTTTTGGCTGTTGATTCTGATTTCTTTGTTGATTTGTTTCTGCAGTCATATGTTGACTTTGCTTTGGTTGCGGTGCAGTCGTTTGACTACGAGTGTTGCTTGCACATGGGTAGTGCTCGGGTTAGTGGGATAGTTCCTTTGGAAGTGGCCAGCCTGCCCACAACCTAGATACAATCCCTGATCGTACCAACACTCGCCTGGGTTTGTCCTTCCGCATGTAGCACATGGCGGAAAACTAGAAGTCTTCGACTTACCACTAGACGCCACAGACTGGGCTGGCGCTGACTGAATCAGGATGGTCTTACCTTTCTTTGCATGAGAGGTTCTATCGGTCTCACCTAATGGCTTATTCGCACTCGGTGCGGCACACACAGTTGGGTGCGTACTTGGCCCAGCTTCTTTCGCCTTCAAACTAGATTTGTAATCATCGACATCCTTCTCAGCTTTGGCCATCATATCAGATCGTAAGATTTAGAGAAATCTGTAGTGTTCAATATTGATACATATGGTCGAATGTCAGGGCGCAACCTTTTGCAAAACTCTTCAATACGATCTACCTGTGTGGATACTAGCATATTCACAAACTGTGCCAAATGGTCAAAACTCTTTCGTAGTTCGGGGAGAGTCATGTCTCCTTGTTTCAACTCCATGAATTCAGTGCACTTCTCGTCTCTAAAACGAGCTTGAATGTACTCCTTCTTGAAAGCCCAATCGAAGAACTCCCACGTCCAGGGCTAGGGTGCAGTCTCATAAGTGTGTTTCCACCATTCATGTACTCTTTTTCAAAGGAGCTGGAATGCGTGATTAGGGCGATCCAGATTTGGAACATTCAGATTCCTTAGTACCCATTTTGTATGCTCAATCTAATCTAGTGCGATCTAGGGGTCAGAGATCTTATCCCCAAGGAATTCTTCAACTCCATTGTCTTTCAACGTCTTCAAAGTTATTTCCCTTGGAGGCGCTAGAGGCGGTGGTTGAAACATCCGTGATTGTGCCATTTGCTGTAAAAATTGCACTAAAAACGTAGGAATAACTAGGTCTGGTTGAGCCTCCACATTATGATCCATGTTTTGGGTCTTATTTTGGTTGTTAAAAGCTCCGCTCATTCTAATCAAATCAAGCTTTCGTAATTAGATGCTAACATATAACTGACAAGCAATAAGTCTAATTTTCGTCCAGGGACAGAGGAGTTGCGAGAGGTGTCCATGCAGCTGCTGAAGTACCCTTTTACAAAATCCAAGTTATATTTGAAATTCATTTCTTAGAACGGGTCTGAAGACTAATTTTAAAACCATTTACCCTAATACCAAAATGTAACATCTCGACCCGCTGGACCCAAATACAAGAACCACTCGATCGGTTTGTCACCAGATTAACATTCAAACACAATAATTTTTAAAACAATTTAAAACATTTATTTCAAAACAATTTTAAAACATCCATCAGGGTTAACAGACGGTTTAGAAGCTGAAGTTCTTAAATCAAAATACAATTCTAGGTTTTTGCCCGGAAACATATCCATAATAAATTCAAACTTAAATATTAATTAAACAAAATCCTTAGGCAGCATCCATCCATCCCCTCATCCTCGCTGTCCTCCAGGATTAGTTCCTTATTCATCATTATTCCTGTTACCTATATGTAGTAAAGAGGAAAAATGGCTACACGTACAACGTTGAAGCTAAGTGTGAAATATCTATCGTTTTGACTATGCATATAGATGAACTCACTTGCTCATAATTTCATACAATATCGTGCACACAAGAACAACATCAATAATATCAGTAATATCAAACAACCCATAAATCAAACCTACTTACTTGGATTACCAAGTTTATGTCATTTGCAACTTAGGCATTTATGACGCAAAATCCATATGCAAAGCTCATAAATAATCTTTCTTAGTTTTAAGCTCATAACATATCCTAGGCTAAGGCCAATTCTTTATTATTTCTGGAGTCCTTATTCAACTACATCCATGGAAGAACTCGCCCGATACAACGTCATCCAATGTCGGCTGAGTGGGACCACCAACTCACATCCATGAATAGATCTACGAACCCCGTGCACACGTTTTACCCAACTGATCATGCATGCAGGCCGATTCATCAAATGACCAGTATTGTATTCTTATTCTGTTACTTTGTCCACCAACAGTTCAGCTAGGTAACCTATCCATATTCAAGTTCATACTCTCGTATTCTAAAGCTCATAAGAAATCACAGTAAAGTTCATAAACATACATACTTAACATTTAGCAACCTAGCGTCGGGTGTAAACATCTTCCACTTATCGTCATGCAACACACAAGACCTCGAAGTAAATCCGGGATTCGAATCGGGACAAATAATTAAGAAAAAGGGCGGCTGGGGTTTAACACGGTACCTGATACGGTACCCTGGCCAGGCAGTACCATGGTACCGTCGGTCCGGTACCCTGACCATCCGAGTACAATTGCCGCTAGAGAAAATTGGCTTGTGGCGATAGTCGGGTATTGTTAGGCGATACCTAGCGACCGTCTAACATCAAGAACGTAGCAGAGTTTGATCCAACTCTAAATCATTCAATACGTATAATGTTTTTAAAGCTTATTGACACACAAACAATTGGAGTAAGAGAACATACATGGCCTCCTCTATTAATCAATAACATCATATATTTTTAAATAAATCATAATTCAAATCATAATCAAATCGATCACATAATCAACCATACGAGATTACGAACGTGAATTTCAGACCTACACAAATAATCTAACGTTAGATGTTCACCTACTCACACCTCGATTAATTGAAGACGGATTAAATAGAATTCACCTACTCACACCTCGATTACTGGCGACCACGATTGCCAGCGATGCAAGAACGGCTGACCTTCTCCCTGTTTGAAGATCCCGACGGCAGACAAAGGCTGTTCTGCGACTTCTCTCTCTTGCGTTCACATTTCAAATCTGTCTTCTTTTTCCGGTAGAAATCCGTAAATATTTTACAGTCTTAAACTCTGTATATTTGTTTTCTTTCTTTATCCATGCATGTTTTTATATGTATATACATGTATATGCAATATTCCGTGTTTGGGTGGGTTTAGGGTTTCTTGGTGCGTGACATAGGTAGAATAAGAAACTTCCCATTAATTTTTATCGGTAAGTCTAAAATGACATCAGTGCTACAAGTGTCATTTGCTTACACCAGTTCGTTTGGGGTGCCTACGGTGCTCCGTTTGGAAAAATAACGGTTCCTACCCCCTAACCCTCCCCCTTAACCCCCCACCCCAACCCCACCCTAGCCCCCCCACCCCAGCCCCCCCTCCCGCCCCCATTCCTACCCATGTCATGCATTTCCAGGGTAGGGAGGGGGGCGGGAGGGGGGGCTGGGGTGGGGGGGCAAGGGTGGGGGGTTTAGGGGGAGGGTTAGGGCGGGTAGGAACCGTTGTTTTTACAAACGGAGCACCGTAGCCAAACGAACTGGTGTAACACCCTCCATCCCGTGAACGCAGTTCACCGCGGCCCAACAAGCCGGAGAGGTTACGTAGACGGTTTTAAGGCCATCTACAAAGAAAAACCCTTGCGTTGCTTGTAACAGAAAAATACCCTTGATATACTTTATTAATGTTGAAAATGAATCCAACAAAAGGAAACGTTTCATAGAAGAAGTAGATATAAATGAAACTGTCAAGTCATAAATAACGTAAGTGCAACAACGGTGGGTTCAAGCCCAAAATAGGTTTTTAATAATAATAAATAACTAGTCGGGTCCACACTGTCGCTCATCCACCGCCCCGATCACCCAGTCATCCGGGTCAGGCTCCATGATCCTCTGGCCTACCTGCGTATAGCAAAGGGAAACAACGCTATACGCTCAGCAAAAGATGAGTGGTAATCTAACAGTAGAACACATAGTACATTCACATTGATATAAACATAAGTGTACCTGTACTAAAGTACGAGATACCACATACATGTTTAATGAATTATAGGTTATGAACAAACAGTGATGCAATGCCACATAATCATGATGCATGAGTTAGATTGCGCAGGGACCCCTGCCCTTCGGTGATCATCCCCACGCGGTAGATGAGCCGAGGAACGCCTTAGTCATCTCGATGGAGACTAGAATGTGGGTGATAGCTAAGCCTAGCTACCATGTACGTACACAAGCCCTCGTGATGAAACCCGTTTGATCCCGAAGGCTCCTGGACCGGCCCACGGAAGAGGCGCACTAGGCTTGACCTCTTGTCGGGTATGCAAGTATGCCATAATCCTAAACATGCGTCTAGGATATACATGATGATATGAATGCATTACTTTGATGAATGAAGTTCAGCACACACTTGTAC